CATACAATTTTCCTTAAGGGATATTGTACAAAAATTATACTGACTTGAATTTGATTTGTTATAGAATACTGATTGACAAGATTGATTTTTTTTTTAAAACTAAGTATGTAATAATATTATGATAAAAATTTAGGTTACATGGAAACTATTGTTGCTAGTTTCGAGTAACTAAATCTTTTACTAAATTTTACAAATTATTGTTGTTAATTTTGAGTAACTAAACTTTGGAAATTCTCTAAATGTTTGTATAAAACAACAATACATAATACAATACGAGTTAATATTATGATTTCAACAAATTTTTTAATCTAAGTTTAATAAATAATTGATGACCTTAAAATTAAATACAATAACATTGGCAATTACAAACATGCCACTTTTTGTGTGCATATTTGCAAGAATACCACTTAGGGATGTCTATTTACAAAAATGCCACTAATTATAGATTTATAAAGCCTATATCTTAAAATTCTAAACCCTAAAAAATGTTTGGACACCTAAAACCCCTTAAACACTCAAAACTAAATTCTAATAGAACATAATTAACCAAAACGTAAATAATATTAAGAAAAAATAATTTTGAAAAAGTGGTATTTTTGTAAAGATTTCAAAAGTGTGGCATTTTTGTAAAGTGGCACTTGAAAAGTGGCATTTTTTGAAATTTCTCATTAATATTTGGAATACGATAGTTATACATGTTCGTGCAAGATTTTCGGCATGACCATCACGATATTTTTTTGCAGCAATTGCAAAAATGCCATTTTTGGTGTGTACATTTGCAAGAATGCCACTTAATTATAGACTTTTAAAATACCATTAATTATAGATTTTTAAAGCCTAAATCTTAAAATTATAAATCCTAAAAAATATTTTGACCCCTAAAATTCTCAAAATTAAACCCTAATACAACATAGCTAACCCAACCATAATGATATCATAAATTTTTTTTTTTTAAAAAGTGGCATTTTTGAAAAGTGGCACTTTTCATTTTTAAACAAAAATTCTATTTTCTTAGATCATTGGAGATTCTCTGTTGGAGAGTAGATAAACTTCCATTATAGAAAATACGGTCCTGAAAACTTTAGAACATTAATGTGTTGTAGTTTTAGAAGCTCAAATCCACATTGTCTGCGTTTGATATATTTTCTTAGTCTTTAATATGAGTTTAAGGTTTCTGTACCCAATATTGGAATTCATAATCGGAATCTCTTTTATTTTGAGTTTAGACTTTAGATTTATATATATAAAATTATTCAATTTTTGAGTTAATCTTTAGGTGGATGGGTCAACCATTACTCAATCTTTCTCGGCCTTTCATATGAATTGATTTGATGCCGCTAAGGCTATAGAACACATTGTTATAGTGTTCGACCAAAACCTCTGTATGTCCTCTCCAATAAGC